AAAGTGTACAAAAAAGACCCTAAAATTTTTTATAAATTCATAATAAAATATGAAAAAATTTCAGCATTAGCCGTTTTTAGCACCAGCTACGACATTTATTTATATATTAACTCTTTAATTTTTTTTTTTTTTCATGACTTCTATGGCCAAGGGCTTTTTATTAGATAATTAACAATGTTTACAATTATGATGAGGGTATAACTAGCCACATGTACAACTTTTGGTTGTCTATTTAAGTAGTCTGCCCGAGTTCAATACTAGCCACCATACCTGCAATCTAACTAGAAGATTACTTATTTAAGCTCTCTGGCTTTTTACAAGTAAGAGTACGACTAGCCATACTTGCAACTTTTGGTTGCCTATTTAAGTAGTCTGCTTAAGGTTCTACACTAGCTACCATACCTGCAACCCAACTAGAGAATTACCTATTTAAACTTTCTAGTCACAACCGGCCTATCATTTCTTACCTAACCAAGATATAACTCACTCACTATTCATATGCTAGATTTTGCGACACCTATAGATTTCACACCCTATCTAGAACTACTTTATCCTCAAGGTAAACCTAACAAAGCAGTACATGTCTCACACATGTATTTATCTGCATGTTTGGTAACTTCTTCCTAATCTAGTACTGGTTGTGTTGCTGCTACCGAGTTTATATCTTAAGCTATCTTTTAGAATACTGCTGTAACCCGATCCATATCTCAAATTACAACCTTTCTATTTTAGTAGTTGTTACATACTCCTGCTCTTGTATTGGGTTCGCACAACTCCAGCTCCCACATTCGAACTTTTCTTCTTTCTCAGATTCTTTATTGGTCTCTCCCTTACTTTTAGCCGGCAACCCGGAAGGGTCAGTTCACCTAGATTTTAGGTGTCTATATGGTCTTTCTTCTCTTGATACTTGCTTCCAGAGTACATAACCTTTTCTTCTGGTTTTGGTAGCCCAGCGATTCGGCTAGTATATCCCTTCACTTAAGGATCTGGTCGCTTGGTTCTCTGATCTTAGTCTCCGGTTCCAAATTTGGTCCTTCTATAGTACTATTGAAGATCACGCTACCTCCCAACTCGGAACTTGCCAAACAGGTTTTCGGTTCTTTTGGTGTTTCAGGTTTATTGCACCAAGGCTCCCATTCTAGATAGTGTGACCGAGATTACAGATTTTTAGATCTTACCAATCGTTGAATAGCTATTAACTATATTACAGGGCTATTTTTCAAAAACGTCATCTGTGGGATTCAAACTCTAGACCTGCTATCTGGGGGTGCAACAACTCCACCACTTCACTAAGTTACTACACCTTATATTAACTCTTTAATAAGTTAGGTATTTAATAATAAATATTATATTTATTCTACTTTATACATATCTATCTGTTTTCTAACTTACAGTATATAATAAATTCTTTGTATATAATTATTGGTTTGTAAGCTTTTTTAAATGAAGTTTTTTTCATTTTCTAGTATTAAAATTTTATAATTTAATTGATTAATTATTATAGGCAATCATAGATAGATTGTTAAAAATTAAATCGACAAAAATTAGCTAATTATATGAATGTTTGCTTATGATATAATACCTAATATAGGGCCAATGATTTACTGTATTTATAGAAAATAGCAGAATTTTTCTTAAAAATAGCTAACCACAGAAATCACCTTTAGTTACTACAGAATATCACAAAAATCTAAATAAAGTATGCAGAACATCACAGAATTCTATAATATTGCAGGATTTGACTATAAATTCAGATTGGGCACTAGGAAATTCTAAAAATATAGACGAATAAAAACTAGAAAAACAGGTGCTATTGTAAATCTGAAGCGAATTAAAAAAAATTATCACTTATGTGATTGGTCACATGGGCAAACAGACAGACAAAATTCTGCTTAGCCCTGATCATATATGATTACGTGGGTTGACAGACAGACAAAATTGGCTAACGCTAATGAATAATCTGAACATTTAAGTCCTCTGCTTTGCTTCAGACAATTACAAATATGTTTGTCGAGAAGTTATAGAATTTTGCATATTTTATTTTTTAATCGCATCAAATTCAGTTAGGGATTTTACTAAATTAGGAAATCATATTCTAAAATGATCTCTGTATCATTCTGTGAATTTGATTGGCTGTATAACATTTTTTATTAATGTGGGATCATTTGATATTTTATTTATTTATTCAATATTAAATGATATATAGATAGCTAATATAAGATATTTACTTTAAATGATCTCTTGAAATAAACAATTATAAAAAAGGTAGATGGAAACTAACTTCTTTTAATTACTAAGCAAATTTTGTTGTGGTTAAATTTGATTGGTCAATCGCACATGATTTTTGTGCAACTAAATGATCTAGAATTATGTGATCGATATTTCTATACCATACAAGGTGCAATCTATATTGTCCATTTTAGGCAAAATCCCTGACTAAAATCACAGAATCAAATTAAATTACCACAAAAATTGACTTTATCATCACATGATATCACAGAATTTTTCTTAACCAAAAACAAAATTTGGTCTTAACCAAAACAGAAAATCATCGGCCCTGACCCAATATAAACCTAACATGATTTTACTGTCACATGATTTCCCAATGTGGTGTAAAAAAATTCAAAACAAACTTTCTTAATTCCTCATATAATTTTACTATATAATTCTTATCTTCTTTTAAAGTTTTTATATTTGACGATATTTGTTTTCTGACTTTCACGTGATAGTAAAAACAATCCCACATCTTGTCAAAATTATATAAACCTAACTCTGAGCAGTAAAGATTCAACCTAGTCCTGATTACCAATAATGTCAACAGAAGAATTTTATTACAGTTATACTTGTATGCTTTATTTATAGACTGGTTGATTTCAGCCTCTAAATATTCTCTGATTAATAACTAACTGTTTTTATAGCCATTTTTTCTTACATAAAAAATTGTAATGAAAATAGCTCTTTACAGGAATTCGTGAAACTATACCATGAAGTGATTGTAGAATCTTCACTACACACAGACAATTGGTATGGTTTAAAGACAGCATGGGAAATGAGATTCCTAAGGGTCATAAAAAATATGTTTCCAGAAAGCTATGATGAAATTTATGAGAAGGTCTTGTATTTTTTTTTTTCTCTAAATATGTTATATATGTAAAGGAAGCTTTTGTGCAGTGGTCAGTTGTTCAAGGGTTTGCAGTGGTCGGTTGCCCTGAGTGATGGTGGTTGTACTCCTTAGTTAGTGGTTGGTTGATTTTGGAGTATGTAGTGGTCAGTTATACATTATCATTGCATATTGCATAAATTTGCTACTTGCTATTATTGATGTTCACAAAATATTTTTAGTACTAATCATTTAATTTTAATTTTATTTTATTTTTTTTTGTAATAGGTTAAATCAGAAATTTCAAATAAATCCTTAAAATATAAATAGCAAAACATAATAAATGAAAAGGAGAAAGTAAGTTATAATTTATTTTACTTGTTTATTTTTTTTGCCAATATATTATTAATATTATTCATGTTAATGATAAATTAGATATTTGTAACAAATAACCATATAACAGGAAGTCTAAAAATCTTAGGCACAACTGCTAAATATACCACCGAGATGATTGTTTTAAATGTTTTAAATCTCAGTTCATCAGGAAAATATCCTTCATGCAGTATTGTTTTAGTTAATACTAAAAAGATAAGAGTGGGTATAAAAAATATGATCTGAAAGTATCCAAGAGTATTGACTCATTTTCTATGTGCATAGGCCGAAACTGATGAAAGTGAAGACACAGGCAACTGTTTGGAAGCAAATAACATAGAATTAATTGATACAAGACCAGATCCAAAAGAGATTGGAGATCTTACACAGGTATTATCTTCTATAATCTATAATCTTTTAAATATAAAGTTTATGCATATCTCTAATAATATCTTAGGAGGAAACAGAAATTCACAACAAGTTACTCGCTGTTTACATAATTACCAAGATAAAGCAAAAATGTTGGGTACAACTTATATGAATTCAGTGTGTCTTAACAGTATACTTGATCTTTCAGATGAGGAAATTTATAGGGATGTAAAAAAAACTTTCGATATAAATCAATTAAATTGGCTTGAAAAAGTCATTAAAAAAAAAATTTGAAAACCAACATTCAAGTTTGCCCAATACATTGAACAATTTACTGAGAATACATGTACTCAAGCTGAGGTTCTATCTCTTGTTCAAAAGTTCTACATATCAGGGATATTTGATCTGTATCACTATAAATCACATGATATTGCACAGCAAATTTTAACGCACCTGTAAGTGTTTTTACATGATGGAATGCGAGCTTTAAATGATTATAATTATCTCTGGTAATTTAGTTAGATCAATTAAAAGCCCACAATCCTTAATGCAAAAAATTTTTATTTAAAATCCTGGTCTTTACTTGGCAGAACTCATATTAACATTAACTAATTTGTTATATGATAACTTAATAGTTCAGTTTGACTTGAAGCTCTGGTGAGAGTAGAGAATAAAAATCTCAATCTAGAAAGGATCTTTGTAATCGATACTATAGTATACATCTTAAATTGCCTATTTAGAATGCACCAAGATGAATTAGATAATACATAGTAAACATCAATGTCAAAATTCAAAGTTTTAAGTATTACCCTACTAATTTGGTTTAATTAAAGATTGAACAAACCACACCGGATACAAAAAACTATAAATTTGACGGTTTATATAAGTGATCAGGACAATTGGCAAAAGTTAACCTATAATTATTATAGAATTTTTATACAGAAGAAAGGTGCTATTACTCAAAAAAGATGGTGATTAGCTTAAATTGTGTCGAAACTTCATGAGAACTTTAAATAAATTATTAAAAACTGTACTAAAAGACTATGCATAAATATATTTAGTATAGTCAACCCTGGCTATAGTCACCCTAGCTATAATCACAACCTTAATAAAGTCACAAAAATTTTTTGACCCATTTTTTTTTAGTTTAATTTCCCTATTTATAATCACATTAATATGATAATCACTATCACATGATTTTTTAAG